TCAGCTGTGGCACGTTTAAACACCCTAAATATTTCATCAGACACTGCACTTAGTTCAGTGTTTTAAATAAGATTTAATAAATAGGTGCATGTTCAGACTTGTACAGCCCTACTTTTGTCTGTAGTTGGCAATGTGCTGCTGTATGTGTTTGACTGCACAGTTAAGAATTTTAATTACTTACCTGTTCCATACAGACACTCATTCTCTTTTAACTGTTTATTAAAAAATAAAACTGAACCTTTGTGCAAGAAATCTTCCACACTGTACAGCTGCACTATTGTCAAGAGTAGGACCCTGTTTTCTGAATGTATCTCCACATTTCCCTTGTCTCCTACTCCCAGTGTCCAGTCTCTGGAATTCCCACAGACCTGTGATGTTCCTGTAACTAAATCCTTTCCTTTGAATGTCTTTGCTGTTAATTTTACAGAGATGTCTGAGATTCTGCCATCTGCACACCCAAATGGATGGCACAAGCAGTGTCTGTCTTATTGTTAGGAAAACACAGCTGGAGCTGATGGTCCTGTTTTTGTTTGTTTGTTATGTTTCCAACTTCTAGACCCATTTGGTAAAATAAATATTGAGGAGAATTGAACAAACTCATCAAAATTTGATTTAAGAGCCAATAGTAAGTTGTGTTATCATCTTTTTCTGATGGTCTCCCTTAGCAATGACCAAAAAAAAAAAAACACAAAAAAACCATGTCAGGATGAAAACCTTCTTTCATTTTAAGTTAGTGGTCAGCAAATGAGTCGCAGTTGGAGCTTCACACTTCAAGTTCATTCTCTGCTACAGAAGCAGCCTGGCTTAAACTAGATGCTTAATTTTTGTATACCTCAAATTATGTGGCATGAATATCATTCTAAGGGTACATGACAAAGGTGGCTGTAGACAGGTACCAATTTTTATATCTCCACTCCAAGCTGACCAGTATTGAAGCAGCTCTGCAGTCTATAAAATATGGGGCATGTTTGGAGTCAATATATTTTGTAATTTAGCAACAGAAGGGTGAAGCAGAGAGCAGGAAGGTTTCTGACCTTTTTCTTGAAGATGCTGATGTCAGACAGCCAGAAACTGTGTCTGTCCTAAAAAACAGATGTTTGTAAACAGCTATGTATAGATAAATATATACATAGGCATTTGTTTTCCCAATTACATCCTATTTATTTTTTCATAGTTCAGGATGTGTCCTGAGTACAACAGTAGAGAAACAGCTTAAGGATGATTGATTACATCATTTCGTTTCTAAAACTTGGGTACAAATGAAGTAGATGTATGGATTTGAGCCAAAAATATTACAGGTGATCTGTTAAATGTGTCTTTTGATAAAAGTTTACTCACTGTTGAGTTTCTGAGTACATCAAAAGCATTGGGACAGATCTTTAAGGACTGAAGTCTGGCAGTTTCAGAAACACCTCTAACATTCTGACATGTTCATCTGTGGATGTTCTGCTAACATGTCCTTTCTCAGATAAGGTCCATGGCCCAGACCTGGTACTGTTGTATAGCTGAGCATTCTGAGCTTGTTGCTCTTTGAGTGTCACAATTGTGATTTCATGACTTCAGGTCTGGTGGCTTTAGCTGCTAAAGTGGTGTGGGAGGCCTTGCCTTTCTTCTTTGTTATGGGAAGATGAGTTTTCACCTGGCAGATCTCAGAGCACGCAGTTCTGGTTCTGTACATGTGAGCACTTTTGGGTCATGGTAGGTAGCTGAGGAATGCTGTCCAGCTGCAGCAAAGTTGCATGAGCTCAGTCTCCTGCTCAGGCTCGCAGGCTGCAACTCAGAGCAGAGCTTTAGAGCTGTGATGTTGTGCAACCTCAAAAATCTGCTTTGCCAGTGGGAGACTCCATCATTATGGGCAGCATGGGAATGTGCTCAGGTGGTAACTCACAGAGTTAATGTGTGAGCAGATCCCACCTTGTCTGGATATTTCATTTTGGTTTGCAGATTTTGCGAAGGTACCAAATGCGTTGTTTGCCATTATCCAATTTTAAATGGACTTCAAATTTGTCTGGGGATGCTGCCCCCAGGGTTAAATTTAGTGTGTCTGGAATTGCAGTCTAGTTACATATGTGTTCACTTGAATGCTGCAGCTAACTGTCTATAAAATGCCAATATCCACATTTTTTTGGTGCTACAAGTCAGTTTTGGAGGGCACTAGACCAGCAGAAGAACATCCTGTTTTGTTTTCAAAGGATGCTTCTAGCTCTTGTAATTTCCTGCTGAAAATGAGAGGCTGCTTTGCTGAAAGGGAGAGTGGGAGGAAATGTGCTTATTTTCATCCTTTGTTGTTTCTTTCATTTGAGTGTTTTCTCCCCTTCCTCTAGCTTTTCTCACATTTACTGCCTACCTTTACACTTGTTCACTTGTCAGAGAAAGATGTTGATATCCTGTTGGCCCATTAGCTATCTTTGTGCTTGATTTGCCAGACTACTTCAATATGCTTTAGCACAATTGGGAAAGACAGCCTTTTTTAAAAAATAAATTTGCATGATGTTTTTCATACTGAAGCTTTTACAGCAGAAATACTGCAAGTAATTCAATTCATAAGTAGCAAATGTTACCTTTGCTCCTAAACTCCAGGAAGCTGACGAACATTTCTGCTTTATTTTCTGCTTTACTTTCTGCTCTATCTTCTTTTATTTATAGAAGAAGAACAGAAGGAGCAGGGAAAAATCCTTGGGGAGAAAGAAGAAATCTCTTATTGATGATTTTTCTGGAGTGAGCATAGGCACTGGAAGCATCCTTGACCCTTCCTTCATCCTCCATCAATTTGAATGCAGCAGATGGTCACGTCAAGCCATGATGGAACAGCAGTAGGAGGTGGTTTAAACTAGAAGTATCAGGAAAGCTATGAATTTATTAGTTAATGCCAAAGGTGTCTGATAAAGACAAGTATTTATCATGAATGAGATGGAGAGAACAGGTGGAAAGATAGAGCCTCAATTTTAAGTTTTTTTATGAGAACTGTGAGAGCTTGTCATCATTTAAAAAAAAATCTATTTTCCCTAATTGGTCATAAGACTTAAAAAACAAAGAAGGAGAAAAAGTATTTTTGTCATACTTTTTCTAGCACCTCCTTGCAGTCTGGAGACAGCATGTGAGCACTGCTCAGAAAAACTCTATATTTCAATAGTGTTACTTTATCTGCCCAGAAATTAGGTATCTGAGCTGAATTATTTGGCTCCCTCATTGGCTAAAGGGGAAGGACATGTGACATTCACTTTCAGGATCCCTGGCTACTTCAAGTAAGGGCTTAATTTCCCTTTAGGGATGTTTCCTTTTCCTTGGCTATAAAAGACAGCTGAAGAGTTATTTTATACAATAACTTGTAGCCTTGAGGGAAATTCCTGTGGGTGGCCTTTGTCCACTTTATCTCCCAGCTCAGGTATTTAGCACAATGATACACAGAAGAATCCCTACCATGTGTAATATAAATATACTAAGTACATGTGACATAAACTGTGTGTTAGAGGGCTGTTACTTTACTGACCACTGTGAGTTCATACCTGAAAGTTGTTAATTAAAATACCTTTTCTTCCTTTGCTCACAGTTTATTGATATGACTGGAAACCACTTGCAACAAAAATTCAGGGGGAAAGTGTCAGAAAACTGAAACAAGATGAGACATTTTGCCAGATACCCTACCTGATAATTTTTCTGTATAAAAGTCCTTTTGACATTCTTTTTTGAATTATACTACCTAGAACAAAGTCAGCAAAGAATCATAGAATGGCTTGGAGTGGGAAAGACCTTTAAAATAATCTAGTTTCAATCCTCCTGCACCTGGCAGGAAGAACTCAACTCCCACCAGATCAGGACCTGGGTCACAAGAATGGGAATATATGGTACCACTACATTTTTAAAGTGATCCTTCAAAATCTTTTGTCTCTTTCACTTAATATTGATGTACTGCTCCTAACTTTTCTAACTGAAAGTGCTATCCAAATGCTAGTTACTCTTGTTCCCTGACTTTGAAAACCAGATTTTTTCTCAAACAGTCCATCGGGGAGAGTTTATTGTCTGTGAATGTGCCTTATAATCCTGGACCACTCACAGTAGAAAAATGAAATCAGGTCTAAGTCCAATTCATTCCTCTCAATTTCTTTTTTTCCCTGTGAAGTAGATAAAGGATAAATACCACAGCTGAGCCACCTGTCTTATCTGATCTATGCCTCTTCCTTCTCTAGTCAGGTTAAGTTAGAACTATGCTGGCATGCAGTGAATTTTACTTTGATTTTTTATCTGTGGTTCCATAACTCCTTTGATTTGTACTATGCAGCTTCTCAACATGCAGCAGTCAGTGGTTTCAGGGAGTTGGATCCACTGGGTGCTTCCATGGGGCATAATTAGGACTGTGGATCCACCTCCTGAAGAGAATGTATCCCATGAAGGGATCTTCCTTCTCTGAGTTAACACTCAACCTGGATCGTTACTGTGAATGTCTAACTCTTCAGTTATCAAAACTAGGACATATTGCAAAATGAATAAGCAAGATGTCTTATTAAAAAAAAAACCAACCTCTGTTTTTACATTCTTCTTGTCAAATTCAACCCAACTTTACCATTGGTTGCAGATCTCTCTAAATTATGTGGATGACCACAGATGTATAAACCTTAAAACCCTGTTCTAGTTTACCCCTCCCTTCCCAATATCTTCCCCCAGTGAGGGACAGAGGTACCCCAGTCACCAGACCAGTTTGCAGTTCTCCACTCTGACATATACTACTCAGCAGACTCTATCCCTTATCATTATATTTCAGTGAAAATATTTTCCTGCGACCTTTCCATCTTGTTAGTGGAAGGTGATTTCAGTAAAGCATTTAGAGATTGCTTTATAGTGAACTTTCAAATAAAATTTGGTCTATCTCTTATGAATGAATATGTGATTTGAAATGCTGTTGCCCAGGTTTTATTTTCAACTTTAGTTGTTATACCATCTGCTTTAAGAGGCCCAGCATTGAGGTGTCAGAGATATTTCTTCCCTTTGCTTTTCTCTTCCAGGACATTAAAGGGCACTTTCAAGTTAAACTCATCACGAGACTATGTGAAAATGAGAGTGTCTGATGTCTGTTTTAGGTGAGTTGACCAAAGAGATTGTGAGACTTCAAATTTATCTTTTTGTTCTGAAAGAGTAGAAGTCAGATCTGGCAATTAGAGTGAATTATGGTTCCGTTCCCAAACTGTCTTTTCACCAGATACACAAAACTCCCCAATGTTTATGTTTGCCACTGCTGTTTGGTGGAGAAGAATGTTTCTTTAGTCTTTGTTTGCTTATGGGAAGCTTAAGGCTTATGCAAAGATTGGCACCTAAGTATAAAATAGTTTTCTGCACAGCAATAGCTCAAGCTTTTTGAAGAGAGGTCAGCTTTTAGGCTTTACTTTAATTGTTGCTCTTGTAATCCTGAGATGCTGAATGTTTTTTTTAATGCAGACATGGGCTGAGTAGACAAAACTTATAAAACCCCCAGCTAAGCACAGTGCTAAGCTTCTGAATGTTTTCACAAGGCACCTCAGGGAATGTGGGGTTACAGTAGCTTTTAGCCACTTCGTTTTGTAAAAATTTGGTATTGTAAAACCCTTCTCCTGCTATTGAGGCTGAGGAACTCATTGGGAATTAGTAGGACAATGGAGCAGGGTTACTCTTGGGATCCTAAAAAGCAGTATCTGTTCTAAGGGAAACTTACAGCAGAGTTCCTTGAGCTACAGAGAGGAATGTGGTTTGAAATGTTGGCTCTGAAGGCAACAAAAACAATGAGATGAAAGTTCTAGTTAATGTTAAATCTTAACTAATTGGTTTCTTGTTTTTCAGTCTGCCTTTTTTTCTGAAATGAATGTCAGTGATACAGAGTCCTTCCTTCTTTTTTATTGGGTCTCTGTTAAAAATTTAGAACTTTGTTCTGAGCTTTACTGAAACTGGACCCTTTAGAAAAAATATTTACAAAATCATAACAATACATTTATTTAAATGCAATTGTCAGCATACAGTTGGCTTGTTAAAAGTGGATCTTTAGTAGCCATCTCAACACTTACGTCCTCGCTCTCTGTGGACCCAAATTTCTTCAGTAGTGGCTGAATTCAGCTGAAAAGCTGGTTACCAGCTTGGTTGCATTTTCCATTAACATCACTCAGTATTTTGCTGCAGATATCAGCACAGAGCATTCTGCACACTCCACTGCTCCATTACAGCATTGAATCAAACAAATATGTTTATTTTTCTTCTAGTAAACTTTATTCCTGATTAATAACATCATCTCTCTTCTGTAATTCTGACCATTCTTCTTGACCTGGGCTAGACTTTAACTGTTGACATTTAGTTGTTTGTTCTTTGCTTTCTGAAGAAAGCACAAATTCCCACATTTAGCAGCAACTCAATGTATGGGGTCCTTATCTAGTGTTTGACTACAGGAAAGTCTCAGGAAAGCTGGCCATTATATCTGTCCTTCATTTTCAACTTCTCTGCATTTTGGGATTTAGATCATGGTCTTGTCTGACTGAAGAGAATAAAAAACCTTCCAGGCTCCCTAGTCTGAGGTTTGGGTTTGGTCCTGATCTCAGCTATGTAAATCAAAGATGAAATATCTCAGGAGAAGGGCTCAGCCTTTACTGTCTGGACAAGGCTGCTGCCAAGAGCTGTAAGAATTAAACCAAATTCTTTCCTCAAGGGACACAATAACTTCTGCCTGCAAATGAACCTTCAGACACGATGAGCTACAGGTTATCATTGAGTCCCTCATTTACCCTGAACTGGCTGCACTATTTCCCTCTTTTAACTCCTGATATTTTATTCTGTTTATAAGGGTGAACTGTCTTAGGTAAGGCAATAGTATGGGTTTGGAAAGGAATAGGATACCAGTGAATAAACCCTTTGTACTGTGCTGTGCTCTATGTGCTCCCTGAGTCTTATGGGTGAGTTACCAGCAAGAATAATGCACTAAACACCAGGTGATTACCTGAAAATGGAGAAACAGGCAGCTGGATTTCCCTGAGTATTTGGCTGCCTGACTTAGGCACTCACCAAGGGCTCAGCTTATAGAAAATAGGGCTCCTCCTGGATGCACACCCACAGCTTGGATCATCCAGTAGCCTTCTAACCTTTGAGGCTTTGTGCTCTTAAATCATCGTATGACTTTTGGTACAACTCAGGCAGGTATTTTCATGCCTGTATTGTCTTGCTGCTTCCAGGAAATGAAGACATGTAGTTCCTGGCTATGGCACAGCCTCCATGAAGACTCCAAGTGAACTCAAATAACTTTGTAAATGTACAGATCCTCTGCAAATCTCACTACAACCTCAACACTGTCAGCATTTCAATCATATTTGCTATCCTACTATTCAAACTAGTAGAAAATTAACAGATATGAACTTAGAGAAGGGTATCTAGATCAGGATTATATTAGAAATTACATATCTGAGACTGCCTAGAAGCAGAGGGTTATGAATAATCTATGACACTTTTTACTGTTGCAGAGCCAGTGATAGCTGAATTAATCCACTCATATTTCTATATATACATAAAAAGACTTAGCTTCTTTTCAGCCTTTATTCTTGCTACAGTGTAGCAGGTATTTGAGTAAAGTCAGTGATTTTTCTTCCTGTCTACTTTAGAAAACAATACTAGTAGGCTTTTTCTTTGACTTAAACACATTCATTCTTCCTAAAGCTTTTAAAAGAAGCAGAGCTTTCAAGATCAAAGATGTTAATACAACACCTGTACTAACACTATATTCAGTGGTTATTGACCATTCTTTGTGATATTGTTTTATGCAGGTGCCTTTCCAATGTGCTCTTTAGAATGTGAGGGAATACAAAAAATAAGCATCTGTGTATCTTTTTATCACACTTTAAAAAGCAGAGCTTTTTGACGAATGGGGAGGGGGGGGAAGCACATAAATATAATCACTCCTCTGCTCCTTGTGATCCAGGGTTATAGAGAATCTTCAGATGGTTGCTCACATGATCATGAAATCACTGTGTATTCTGTAGAATTCATGGATATGAGCCAGGAATGAATATTTACATGTTGGTGGTGGCAAAGCGTGTCACTTGATAATCATATTTTATTACCTCTTTTTAAACAGTGGAAATTGTCTTGCTGGGGAGCAGAAATAAATCCACATGTCTTAGATTAACTATCCAATTCAGCCTGGAGAATGTCTGGTGAATACTTACAGGGAGCAAGTAAGGGAGAACTTGTAGGCTTTAATTTATTCTTAAAAAGTACTTTGTAAACACTTACAAGTATCATTCCAGAAAATAGAAGTGAGTTCTCCAGTGATGGGAAAACAAACTAAAGGGAAAATGGAGAGGGGTAATATACAGTAATTGTTCCACACAGATAGGAATCAAATTATTACTGTTGGCAGCTGTGTTACATTTAGAGCCCTCTTGTCCTGCCATATTTCTGTTTTAACACTTACCAGATATGAACTGGGCATATTTAAAGTCTCAAGAACAGAAATAGGTACACACAGTAAAAATGTCTATACGGAAGTAAAGGATAGCTGAACTCTATGACAATTATGCATTTTTTGGATCAAAACTTAAAGAACATTTTCTTGTACAAATGAATCTACATTTATTTGTTCCTCAAAAAGGAAACCTTTTTTCCTGTCAGGACAGGATGTAAAGGTGGCTTTTTATTACTTTAATCTGAAGCAGTTGATTGTAAAGCAATGTCTTTGAATTTGACTGTAAATTTCTGTTTCCTTTTTTTACAGTAAAGAAAAGGGAGATAACAGAGTAATCCGGTCCCAGAATGAGAGCCCATATATTTGAGACCTGAATATTCATAATCACGTACTTGAAGGCAAACAGACTGCAGACCAGTTAGAGAAAACAATGATCAGAAACATTTGTGATGCAGCTTCCTTCTTACTGATAGGCCCATGAACAGGTAATTAAAAAACTGATATAAATGGAATATATTTTGGCTTTTGTAAAAAAATGTTTATATTTTATTTTATTATTTTATTTTATTTTATTTTATTTTATTTTCTTATTTTATTTTACTTTATTTTATTTTATTTTACTTAATTCTTTTTCTTTTTTCGTCTGCTTGCAGTGTGGCCCTGTGTGAAGTTGTGACATTTTATGACAACTCTGTGTTAGCAGGAGATGAAGTCCCTAGGAAACCAGAGTAAGTGAAACCTGGTGCAGTCCCTGAAGTCAGTGATAACAGCCTCGGGGAACATAAGGAGATGGGAGTGATGCTCCCACAGCATCAGACCCGGGGTTCTGCTCCTACACTGAGCACCTAAAATACTCAGATATTAGAGATGCATGAATTCTTCCAAAAGAGGGCAGAAGCAGCATTTACTGAGTCCCCTTGATGAATCTGTTCCTTTCACCCAACTGCAGTCCTCTGTCTCCAGTGTCTCAGAATATAAACCTCTGCCTCTGCAAAACAAACAGTAAGAACCAGCCAGGAATCCCCACACACATTGCAACACGTACAAAGCACTGTGGATATTAGAATATACCAAAATCCTAAATGCTCTCTCCTTGACAGCAAACCCCAGTAGGGAAAGTACAGACTGGAAAATGGGTGGCATGACAAAGGTTATTTTCAACCCCTTATATTCATACTTTTTCATTATATTTTCAGTTTCAGAGGTTTGAAAAGACTTTAGTAAGAAGTCTAAGGAAGGTGTGAGCTTGTGTAGAGTGCTTAGATAAAAGAAAGACAGAGGAATAAAGCAGTGGTGGACAGAAAAATATGATGTTATGTACCCACAGGTAACCAATGTAAAATTTTTGGACATTCCAGGCTCAAGATCAGACCCAATGTGTCACCTTGGCCCAAGGCAGTAAAATCATTAAATAAAAGGCTGAGAAGGACCACAAGAGGTAATTTAGTCCAGCTCCCTGCCCTAAGGCAGGATCACGTCTACCTGCGTCATTCCTGACAGATGTTTGTCCAACCTACTCTACAAAACCTGCACAGGGCCATGTCTGCCAGGTACCCAGGCAGACTTTCTTGCATGCTTGGCAGTGTTTGAGTAGCCTGTCAAACCAACAAAGTCTCACTGAATTGACAGTTGAAGACAGTAAGGAAATGAAATTTATATATATATGTC